AATGGTGAAAGCTTGAAATCACCCGTTAACACCTGGTAATAATTAAGACGTTAGTCTTTTTACAGAACAAATTGAAAATTTTTTACAGAGCAACGATCAGTTATTGTCCGACGACGCAGTCGAGATCGAAGTCGACGTGGCCATGAACAGACATGGAGGGGGTCGGAGGCGTAAACTCACAGACATACCTCTACAACAGGTGATTAAAAAAAAAAGATGAGTTTATTCTGCCCTGTAAATAGGGGTGATAAATTGTGCCATTCTATCTGCCTCGCCTCGAACCTCGAACCTCAATTAAGCGAATTAGAAAGTCGTGCGACAGTCATTCACAACAACGCAGGATTCAAGACAAGATATAGCGAAGTTTGAAAATATGCTAGACATCAAAATTGTTGTATTTTACAGGACGAGTGCAGGAGCATTAGAAACGTTCAAAAATAATGCAGAAATTCATCCTAAAACCGTGTTTCTTTATTTACACGACGAGCATTACTACATAATTCTGAATCTGACGGCTTTCATAGGCGCTGACTATGTGTGTCAATTCTGCTATAAAGGATACTAAAAAATTCAAGATCACCATTGCAAACACGTCTGTAATGTTTGTTTCGACCGAGATTGTTACAAATACCCTAAAAGAATCGTTCACTGCCCCGATTGTCTACGCTTTTGTAATTCGAAACACTGCTACAACATGCACAAGAAGACTCCGCCCGGCAAAGAGAATCCCCCTTGCGACGTTATAAAATATTGCAAACTATGTAACAGATGGTACAACATTATAGGACCCGTCGATAGTCACAAATGCGCGCCCTTCCGATGCAGCGATTGCGGGGAAGAGCTGCACGACCGAGGGCTACATTTCTGCTACATACAGCCCCAACAGCCCAAGGAACCTAGCAAGAAGTATATTTTTATGACTTCGAAACTCGTTATGAAAATGGAAGACACATCGCTAATGTCGTTTGCGCAATCACATTTGACGGCGATCGATTTGTGTCTGAAGGCGTCAACTGCGTGGAACAGTTGATTAACCGGTTCAGACAGCCCCGATACAAAGGCTGCTGTTTCATAGCCCATTACGCATCCAGATTAGACTCTTTTCTAATTCTCGAATATTTTTGCAAAGTGGGTCTTACTCTCGTCATCATCATGCAAGGATGTAAATGAATCTTCATGTACGACGAAGCTTTTGCTCAGCGATACAGACAGTTACAGTTTCATCCCAATGGCTCTTTCTAAGATGCCCACCGCTCTAAACCTGACCACGATGGAGAAAGGCTACTTCCCCCATCATTTCAATAGGAGGGAAAATGAGAACTATGTGGGTCCCTACCCCGACAAAAAGTTTTACGGATATGAAAACATGTCAGATAAAGACCAGGTAAAGTTTGACGAGTGGTATAGCACCGTCTCGGTTAAATTATTTCGTTTCAGCAAGGAGTTGTATGCGTAC